GCAAATGGTTGGCCGTCGTTCGATTTTCTTTAATGAAAAACAGCAGAATGAATGCATTGCAAAGTCACAATTGTAAAACAGGTTTCATGGAAACCTATTGGACGTCCTGTTTTGTGTGTGTGTGTGTGTGTGTGTGTGTGTGTGATGGAGTAAATACAGTCCCACTGCTGCTTAAAAACCTTTTAATAGATTAAAATTAACATATGACCTCTATTTACTCACAAACACTTTTGGATGGACGAATAAATGGACGGATGGATAGATGGATGGAGAAATGGACAGATAGATGGACGGAGGGATGGATGGAGAAATGGATGGATGGACTGATGAATGGACGAACGGACAGATAGAAGGATAGATAGTATGGATGGATGAATGAATAGACAGACGGATGGATGAGTGGATGGAGAAATGGATGGATGGTTAGACAGAGGGACAGATGAAAAGATGTATGGATTGTTAGATAGATGGATGGATGAATGGACAGATGAAAAGATGGATGGATGGATGGAGGATTGTTAGATGGAGGGATGGATGGATGGACACACGAAAAGATGGATGGATGGATTGTTAGATGGATTGTTAGATAGATGGATGGATTGTTAGATGGAGTGATGATGGATGGATGGATTGTTAGATAGATGGATGGATTGTTAGATGGAGGGATGGATGGATTGTTAGATAGATGGATGGATGGATTGTTAGATAGATGGATGGATTAGATAGATGGATGGATGGATGGATGGATTGTTAGATAGATGGATGGATGGATGGATTGTTAGATAGATGGATGGATGGATTGTTAGATAGATGGATGGATGGATTGTTAGATAGATGGATGGATGGATTGTTAGATAGATGGATGGATTAGATAGATGGATGGATGGATGGATTGTTAGATAGATGGATGGATGGATGGATTGTTAGATAGATGGATGGATGGATGGATTGTTAGATAGATGGATGGATTGTTAGATAGATAGATAGATGGATGGATGGATGGATGGATGGATGGATTGTTAGATAGATGGATGGATGGATTGTTAGATAGATGGATGGATGGATGGATTGTTAGATGGAGGGATGGATGGATTGTTAGATAGATGGATGGATGGATTGTTAGATAGATGGATGGATGGATTGTTAGATAGATGGATGGATTAGATAGATGGATGGATGGATGGATTGTTAGATAGATGGATGGATGGATGGATTGTTAGATAGATGGATGGGTTGTTAGATAGATAGATGGATGGATGGATGGATTGTTAGATGGAGGGATGGATGGATTGTTAGATAGATGGATGGATGGATTGTTAGATAGATGGATGGATGGATTGTTAGATAGATAGATGGAGGGATGGATGGATTGTTAGATGGATGGATTGTTAGATAGATGGATGGATGGATTGTTAGATAGATGGATGGATTAGATAGATGGATGGATGGATGGATGGATTGTTAGATAGATGGATGGATGGATGGATTGTTAGATAGATGGATGGATTGTTAGATAGATAGATGGAGGGATGGATGGATTGTTAGATAGATGGATGGATGGATGGATTGTTAGATGGAGGGATGGATGGATTGTTAGATAGATGGATAGATGGATGGATTGTTAGATGGAGGGATGGATGGATTGTTAGATAGATGGATGGATGGATGGATTGTTAGATGGAGGGATGGATGGATTGTTAGATAGATGGATGGATGGATTGTTAGCAGTGTTGGGCAAGTTACTTTTAAAAAGTAATTAGTTACAGTTACTAGTTACTACTTCCAAAAAGTAACTAAATTAGTTACTCAGTTACAAATTTTAAAAGTAACTAGTTACTTAAGAAAGTAACTATTGCGTTACTTTCAAGTAAAATTAAATTTTAAATGCTCAAATGTGACCCCACCTCTACCCTTCTTTAACGGAACTTACAATACATGTGCATGTTCAATTATTTATGATAAATCTGAATATTATAATGAAATGGACACTTAATACAATACATTATTAACAGAAACATGAAACATTGTAGGCCTACACACATCTAAAAAAAAAAAATGTTGCTGTGGGACAAAGTGAGACTAGCCTCCAATCAAATGCCATGTAGATATTATGTTTATATAGTGGATCAATGCAAATAACACAATAGATGTTTTGGAACTTTTGATATTTATTGCCCCTCAACAGGCCACAACTGGGCAAAATTAAATTAAGCTTGTTAAGCTCGTCGCCATACCTGTCTCTCGTTGACTGACTGGCTTGCTTGTGTTGTTCATTGTGTGTCCTGAACTGTCCGACTATGCGTTATGATGGGTCGTTCGCAATTCATGAGCGTTAGCTGTTAGTGATGATGGATCGACTCGTTCGCGAATGAGCTTTTGATGGGTCGTTCGCGATTCGCGAATGAGCCGACTCTAAGAGCCGGCTCTTTTAGGTGAACGTCGGGAGCTGGCTCGCATATCTGAAGAGCCGACTCTATTTTTACAAATTTAGCCTATAGAAATTAAATAATTATGTAAAAAAATATATATATTATAGTCAAAGTCATTTAAAGAGCCGTTTGTGAGTCAGTGAGCTGAGTCAAAAGTGCCGAATGCCTACTACTATGCGTGCTTTCGAACACCCGCCCAACTCTACCTCTGATTGGCTTACAATGACATTTTACTCTACCTCAGCCAATCGTCAGCATTTATGCGCTTGTCTCGTGCTCTGCCCACTAACCAAGGAAGAACAGTAAAAAAAGTATTTGCCTCTCGCTCAGAGATCTAGTTGGTCTGATGAAAAAAAAAACCCAGCTTCATCAGTTATACTAACGCGCCGCATTTTTTGGCAGTAACGGGAACGGCGTTATTAAGATGAGAAGAGTAATCAGTTAGATTACTCGTTACTGGAAAAAGTAATGCCGTTAGTAACGGCGTTATTTATAACGCCGTTATTCCCATCACTGATTGTTAGATAGATGGATAGATGGATGGATTGTTAGATAGATGGATGGATGGATTGTTAGATAGATGGATGGATGGATGGATGGATGGATTGTTAGATAGATGGATAGATAGATAGATAGATTGTTAGATAGATGGATGGATGGATGGATGGATGGATGGATGGATGGATGGATGGATGGATGGATGGATGGATGGATGGATGGATGGATGGATGGATGGATGGATGGATGGATGGATGGATGGATGGATGGATGGATGGATGGATGGATGGATGGATGGATGGATGGATGGATGGATGGATGGATGGATGGATGGATGGATGGATGGATGGATGGATGGATGGATGGATGGATGGATGGATGGATGGATGGATGGATGGATGGATGGATGGATGGATGGATGGATGGATGGATGGATGGATGGATGGATGGATGGATGGATGGATGGATGGATGGATGGATAGATAGATAGATAGATAGATAGATGGATGGATGGATTGTTAGATGGATGGATGGATGAATGAATGGACAGATGAAAAGATGGATGGATGGATGGATGGATTGTTAGATGGATGGATGGATGAATGAATGGACAGATGAAAAGATGGATGGATGGATGGATGGATTGTTAGATGGATGGATGGATGGATGAATGAATGGACAGATGAAAAGATGGATGGATGGATGGATGGATTGTTAGATGGATGGATGGATGAATGAATGGACAGATGAAAAGATGGATGGATGGATTGTTAGATAATGGACGGATGGATGGACAGATTTTCTCAGTGTTGGCTGGTTTAGTTATGATATATTAGTGAGTAATCTGCTCCGGCAGCAGATGGGCACATAATGGGCTCACTCGGTTTTTAAAAAAATTATGACAAATGTGGCCTGCTCTAGTCCTCCATTTGCTTATGATTAATATGACAACCAGAGTTGTGTGGAATAAAATGAGAGCAGGAAAGAGAGAGAGAGAAACATCCCACAAAAGTCCTCATTAACAAAAGCTGCCTTCCACGATTTCTCTTATTTCCTCTCTTGTCTTCTGTTTGTTCTGTGTTCGTCTAACCCGGGCTGCCTGCGGCCCGCTCTCATGTGATGTTTATGGTTTGTTGAAGAAATGCCGTAAACCTGGCCGTGTTAAAGCTGAATGAACAGGGGCTGTTGGACAAATTGAAAAATAAATGGTGGTACGACAAGGGCGAATGTGGCAGCGGGGGCGGGGACTCGAAGGTTAGCCACCAATGACACGCAGAGGAGTGGTAAAGAGAAACCCATGTGACGCAACAGAGACATCTGCCCTGACAACAGTAACCACAGCTAAACACGTCCCGCAGGAGACACGGACTGGAAGAGAAAGCAATTACTGGCAAAACAGAAATATTTGCTAAAAGATTTGTGTATTTCAGCAAATGAGGGCTGAACCTGCACAGAAACTAATAGAAGACCAAGTTTGGTTTTTGTATAAAGGTCGAGTCCAAAAGTCTGAGACCACTAGTGGAAATTCATTGATTTATAATTTTATATGCATAAATGATTAAAATATATTGAAAAATTTTATAAATTGAAAAATATATAGAAAATAAGCTGAACATAAAACAAACAATATATATATATATATACACTCACACACATAATTAATTATTATTATTTATTTTTAAATCACCATAAACAGAATATTTTAACATTTAATATTTTATATTTTCAGTTTGTTTCCGATGTGGACTCTGGACTTTTCTGCTCACACATCTGTGCGACACACACTGTGCTCTGGGGTGTGTGTAATGTGCCAATAGTTCTGTATTTACAGTAATTGTTTGTGTGTTGATAATGACATCAGGGCAGTATGTGTCTGTTGCCTGAAGCGACGGAGCGAGATCCCATCCATACGTCTGTGGCTCGATATGGCCCCGTATGAGCTCTCACACACGTGTACTCGATGGGACCTCGGCTTCATCACTTCCTGTGCTACTGTGTGCCAAGATGTATTGTAATCTAATAACATAAAATAACATGGTCTATGATGTTATTTATGTTATTCTCTCTGAGAAGAACGCCGGTAAACCTGGCGGTGTTGAAACTGAGTGAAGCAGGAGTGCTAGACAAACTCAAAAATAAATGGTGGTACGATAAGGGCGAGTGTGGACCCAAGGACTCGGGAAGTAAGGTCAGTTCCTGGACGGAAAACTGCAACAAAACCTGAAAACCGCAGCTCTGAAAGACAGTAGTCTTAACATGTCACTGTCAGCATCATACAGATTTGTTTTTTGTTTTTTTTAGATTTTCTGAAGATGGAACTGCCTGAGAATCTGTAGAATGAAACATTGTGACATCACAATTCAAACGGCGACGGAACGCTGCACTATGATGTCATACACAGGGTTCCTACACATTTTCAAATTCAAAATTCCATACTTTTCCCAACTGAAATTTCCAAACTTCCAGACCATATTTAACATAAATGGTTCATACATAGTGCAATCACCTGTAAATATTTTCTGTTGTTATTGTTATTATTATCATTGGTTTTCTCAAAGTGATAACATTACATAAAGAGAAAGAAACCTAAGGGCTGCACGATACACTGTAAAAATTAATATGCTATATCTAATCAATAAAATTGTGGCAACCGATTACAAGCAATATTATTAATTAAATTTAACAAATTAGACTTGAGTAATAATTAATCAAATTAATTCCTTAAAAGTTAACCATTTAAAATGAGTCAAATTTACACACAAAAAAATTTAACAAAAATATCTGAATAACAGACAGGCATCAAAGATGAATTAAGAACTCTTTATTTTATATTGCCAACATTGAAGACACCTGATGTTAACAAGCAGAATCACTGAAGGAGAAAAAACCACGTAATTTTAAGTCATCATTATGGTGATCAGTGTGTGTTTAAGTTGGGCTCTTGACCCTTAAATAATTGACTTTAAGTTTTGTTTGGCTGCTGTACTGAGTTATAACAGCCAGATGAACAAATAGAAAAGGTGTTGGATCTGATGGTGTTGGTTATGTTTTAACATAATCATAATTTCACAATCATTTGACCTGAATCACTGAACTCATATAGAGCCCAATTTCTGAGTTAGGTTTACTTTATTAATTATAGCAGCACTGGGCTTACTGTAATCAGGGTTTGATGTTGCACGACCGTCAAACAGCAAAGTACAGTCTGAATGAAATGATTGTTTACTGTTTATCTGTTGCTGGTTTGAGTGGCACACACACATTCGTTCAAAAGAGACTCGCTTATGGTGAAGACAAACAGTGTGCCTTCAGTCGTGCTTGACAATCATTGACTTAACTTTTGCCATGAAATCAAAATCACTCTGCTTGTATGAAACATTTTTTTTGTTGTTGAAATTATTCATTTTCTATTTTAGAAAACTGAATAGTATGAAAGCTTGTTTCCGCCACTGAATAAAAAAAATGTTACAAAGTCAGAATTGCGAGTTTTTATCTAGTTTATAGGTTATATCACGCAATTCTAACTTTGTAACTCACAATTGCGAGAGAAAAAAGTCCAAATTGTGAGACAAAAAGTTTTTATTTGTTGTTCTGTGGCGGAAACAAAGCTTATTTTTCCATACTCTGTTTTCTTTTATTCCATATTTTTTCCAATACTGAAAATTACTCAAATCAAATTCCATACTTTTCTAAACTGCGTAGGAACCCTGTGTACACTTTCATGACATCATAATAGAGTTCCATTTTTTTTTATTTTTTAGAATGCAGCTTTGTTACAGTAAAATGGATGAGTTAATTAAAATGGACAGCTAATTATTGCACCATTAGAAGGACTACAGTGGCCAATTTTACTCTAATAATATTCACTTATTCACTCAATTAGTCAGTAGAAACCCATTATGGCTGTAGAACATTTCATACGGGTATTCCGTGCCATTGACAGAGCCAGATTATATCAAAAATACGTTGTTGAGAAATATAAAAAACAATTTTAATATTTTTCATAAAATGTTATTTAAAGTCCCCCTGTTGTCAATAATTTCATCCCTTAAAACTATTTGATCACCAAAATGACACATTTAAACTTTTTTCTGTCTTCATGCCTTAAAATATCTTGAATGTAACTCGACACCCTCATTTAGTATTCACGGTTCTATGAATATGCAAATGAGCCCCGCCTCCACTCACTCACTCAGCTCAGAGATCCACTGGTTGACGATCACACGTTGATCTGATTGGTTACAAGGTCGTTTGTGACGTCAGAAACACCAGCGATTTCAAACCGTGTTTTTGAGACTGTCTTTGGTTTACTGCAGTTTTAAGCAGAAAATACTCAGCAATGCTGTCGACTTATGAATTTACACATGGTTTGTCTTAAAGCATATTAAAAACACCACATAGACATATAAGTAGGCAATAAGGTACGAGAGGCTGTGCTGTATCGTGAATAAATCACGTGACTTTTTCACGATACAGCACAGCCTTATTGCTTTTATAAAACGGTTACCACACAATAAAAATATTAAAGCCAAAAAATGTATATAAATGCAACTTGCATAAAGTAAAATAACTAAAAGCCTTCCTTACGCTGGAAAAAATAGTCCCTGACCGTGAACAGCAACATAAATGATTACAATAATAATAAAGTTATTATTTCGCCATTAGATGGCGACAAAGACTGTCTTTATGAGTGAGTCAGTCAGTAGAGAAGACTTTTATATTGACACGACTAAACTTGAACACAAGCAACACTGACAAATAAATGAATAGTGTGTGTAATACTACTATAAGCTGCAATGAACAATATCAATGAGAACATGTGTTTACGTTGCTAAGAGTGGTTGCTAGGGATTGTGTAGTTATACACAGAACCGTCGGGTGAAGCGGTCGTGTTTTATCGTGAATACATTTACATTTACTCATTTAGTAGACACTTTTATCCAAAGCAACTTACAACTGAGCACTAAACCAAGCGAGTCATAGTGAAGAGGCAAAAACAAAAAGAAGTGCTGTCGTCGGCAACATTTTTTTTATCATATTCAGTGAAGTCGACACTATATTCCAACAGAACAACATAAATAAAGTGGTTTTAGGAAAAAAAAAACCGAGCTTCTAACTCCACCTGGAGCGTGTTATTTGTTTTGCAAAAATCCACAGCTCCCGGATCATCGGGTCAAATAGGCGCAGGGGTGTGTGAGATCTGACTGTGTCAATCACAGATCGGGCACACGCCACCCCTCACGCACGTTACAATCACATACACACGCCTGAAGTTCGCGCAGTAACGAAGAGTGATAGCGGATGTATCTCGCTTTCAAAACACTAACAAATCAAGTAAGCTCATTTAGAGTATGACGCTAGTAATTGCAATCTATCGGTAGATTAGCCAGGACAGCATACCTCCAAATACTCCATGGTGTTGATGGATGTTGATATGAAGACGGCCGCGTTCACAGATAACCTGGTGCACACGCACTGATGAGCACGAACTCGGTGGGAGGTTATCCGTTGATAGTGGGGGAGGGGCATGAGAGTTGTAAACATTCAACATTTTGCCTAAATCCACTCAATCTGCCAGACTTGCCGACTTGAGCTTTAAAATACACAATTCAGACATTGCTCAGAGTAGCATAAGCCAGACAAGCGAGGATTTAAAGGAAAAGGAAAGAACTTTTTTATTTGTATTTTTTAAATCACAGCTATTGACCAATCAGAATCAAGGAATCAAGGACTGGAACTAACCGTTTTATAAACTACATTAAAAGCTTGATTTTCACCACAGGGGGACTTTAAATAATTTGATATATATATATTTAATCAATATATAATAGATCACATATTGAATATTCATATATTTTTTCAATGCATTTTAAATTTTGTATAGACGTATAGAAAATAAAGTTGATCTGATCAACAATAAACTAAGTAGCCTAAACAAGGCTAAACCACCAAAAACATGGCTCTTCTGTTCATATTTGAAATCTAAATGAATGTGATTTAATTCAGTCTATAATGATGAGTAATTAAAGCTTATGACTCCTAAATGAAGTGTAATTGAGTGTGTAAATGTGTTTGAGTCTCCGTCTCGCCACTTCTTGCATCCCTAACTTCGTGTTTTCTCCCTCATCCCCCCGGTCTCCAGGACAAGAGCTCACAGGCGCTGAGCCTGAGCAACGTGGCGGGAGTTTTCTACATCTTGGTGGGCGGCCTGGGTCTGGCCATGCTGGTGGCCCTGGTCGAGTTTTGCTATAAGTCCCGCGCCGAGGCCAAGAAACTGAAGGTGGAATCGGCCGAACTGAATTTTAGCCCCGCCCCCAGCCCGACGCACAGCGTGCAGAACTTAGCCACTTATAGAGAGGGATACAACGTGTACGGCTCTGACGCAGTAAAGATATAGGGGTAGGACAGACGGTCGCAGGGGTTCGGCAGACGTCCCGCTAATGTTGTGACCGCTTCCCATCCAAACTTTCCTTTACTTACGTTCCTTCTTTTGGTTTGTTTTTACTCCTGAAAGAGATCCTTTCATTTCTGTCGCTTGTCGTTCCTTTGTTTGTTTTGTTTTCTTTCGTTTGGCATTTTGTTTTTCTGGAGTTGCCTTGACTAGAACATGTTGGGATTGCATTGGTTTGGTCTTCCTGGCTGCAGTTGCTGGTGTTTGCACTGTTGGCTTTCTGTTTCAGACACCTGCATTAAAACAAAAGCCACAACACACACACACACACACATATAAACACATGGACAAACCTGACATATTAGGATCTCAAATGATTACCAAACCAAACGTCTTAGCATTCAACCCTAAAACACTTTATAAAGGAATGCTGCTGTTATACTTCTTATCCAGAGATGCTTTAAAGATAAAGCTCTCTGCTATTGACCAGCAGTTCTCAACTGGCGGGTTTTAGTGGACAAAACCAAGTAATAAAAGTGCAACTAACCACATAATCTTCATGATAAATCAATCAACTTTTAAAAAGTGCAAATTTGCCGCAAATTTCCAAGCAATAAACGGTTTAACCCTTGCATTATGTACAAAATTCAGATTTGCTCGCGCCAACGCAAACCATCTTTTGGCGTTTGAAAACTACTTTGCTAAAGAAACATTAGCGCTGAAAGGGTTGTTTTTGCGGCTGATCTTGTTGCATATGCATTTGTAGGAGTTTCCCTTTCAGACGATACGTTTATGGGAGGAGAGTATTTAAATGAATCATGTGAGGTTATTTATAATGTTTGCGCTAGTCAATTTACTGGTGTTTGCGCCATTATTTAACGGACAAAAGCACGTCTTAAACCAGATGCGTCTTAATTTGCTCTGCTCTTGGTAGACTGTGTTGGTCATTATGGAAATTATCCGGTTGTCTGTTCTTTAATTTGTTAGTAAATCACACGAAATTTCCTCTCCCATCGGCACTTTTAGGTTTTGCGCTCTCACGCGAATTTGTAAATTTAGTAAATCTGGCCTGTAGTGCGATTTTATGGTGCGGGTGAAATTGACTCTAATTGGATTAAACATATTTCACCAAAAATCACACACTACATAAAAAATTAAAAAATCAGGCAAAAACAGTAAACCTTCAACATGCGAACACATGACTTTTTAAACCTGTATTAGACAACTTTTTCACGAAACTACATTTTATAAACAGTATTATAACGATTTTTTAAAACTTTTGTAAAATGTGAAAAGCACTTATTCTGTGTGCTTTCCTAAAGCTGATAAAAATATACGCCATCAATGCGGTGTATATTTCTTTGGATAAAAGCATCTGCTAAATGCATAAATGTAAATTAGAAAAACTAAAACATACTCAAACAAATCGAATTGAACATAATATAAGGGTTAAAAATAAACTATTCTGGAAGTCTCGTAGCAAAACCAGTTGAGATCTGCTGCTAGCAATGGGTTATTTGGTAGAGTAGGGCATTATAGATCAAACGGCTGTTGGTTTAATGATGTTTGGTTGCGTTTCACTTTCTTTTGTTGTTAGTGACATCAGCAAACCAATCTATAATGCCGTACTGATACCGAATAACGTTTCAGACCGACCTCTAAACCCCTGCTTATGAAACATTAGCAGTGTGAACGTATAAAGTGTTGACTGTTACGGGACACTGTACAAATTAAAACCCTAGAATTAGCGGGCGAAGGGCTGCATGCTTGCGTTAGAAATGCAGATGTCTAGCTATGTTGTACATTTTTGAGATGTTTTCTGTATTTGTTTGTGGCGGGCTTGAGCTTTTCTCCGTTCTGTCGCTGTGAATGTGTCGAGTGGATCCGTTGTGATGTCACTGTGTCATTTGCATATAGAGACGGAGCGCATTTAGGCCACGCCCACACCGGGGGTGGGGGGGGGGGGCAGGCAATCCAACCGTCTCCATTGACTTTGCATTGCCTCCTTGTCATTTCTGACTTATAACAAAAAACAAAACAATGTCTAAAAGCTGCTATGTATGGAAGCTTGTTTCTGCCACTGAATAAAAAAAATTTAAAAATAATTGCGACTTTTTATCTCACAATTGCGAGATATGAAGTCAGAATTGTGAGAAATAAAGTCGCAATTGCGAGATATAAAGTCACAATTCTGAGAAATAAAGTCACAATTGCGAGAAAAAAAGACAGAATTGAGACTTTTTATCTCACAATTCTGACTTTTTTCTCACAATTGCGAGTTTACATCTCGCAATTCTGACTTTATAACACATAATTGCGAGATTATATCTTGAAATTCTGACATCTTTTCTCAGAATTGTGAGATATAAACTCGCAATTGCGAGTTATCAGGCCAATTCTAAGGAAAAAAAAGACTAACTTTTGTCCCCTCAGCATAGTTTATATCTCACAATTCTGAGTTTACAACACGCAATTTCGACTTTATATCAATCAATTCTGACTTTTATCTCGCAATTCTGACTTTATAACACGCAATTGCGACTTTATTTCACGCAATTCTGACTTATATCTCGCAATTCTGACTTATATCTCGCAATTCTGACTTTATAACACGCAATTGCGACTTTATATCAATCAATTCTGACTTTTATCTCGCAATTCTGACTTTATAACACGCAATTGCGACTTTATTTCACGCAATTCTGACTTATATCTCGCAATTCTGACTTTATAACACGCAATTGCGACTTTATATCACGCAATTCTGACTTATATCTCGCATTTCTGTCTTTATAACACGCAATTGCGACTTTATATCAATCAATTCTGACTTTATATCTCGCAATTCTGACTTTACAACACGCAATTGCGACTTTATATCACACAATTCTGACTCTATATCTCGCAATTCTGACTTTATAACACGCAATTGCGACTTTATATCTCGCAATTCTGACTTCATATCTTGCAATTCTGACTTTATATCTCGCACTTCTGAGAAATGAAGTCAGAATTGCGAGATGTAAACTCGCAATTGTGAGAAAAAAAGTCTGAATTATGAGATAAAAAGTCGCAATTACCTTTTTTATTTTTCATTCTGTGGCGGAAACAAGCTTCCATAGCTATGTGATAAGGTGTACAAGCAAACATGCTGAAAAAAACCCAGAAATAAGTTTTTATAAGCTGTCGACCCAAAAAATTAGCGTTTAAGGACACAAAAGTCAACACAGGCAATTGAGAGAGAGCGCAACCTCTTACTCTGAGAACTAACTTACGCCCACTGGAGGGGAACGTAATCGGAGACAGAATAGCTTAGCTTACATAAATATGATATCATATATAAAACTGACATTTGGATATTTGACTTACAGTGACAAAATGTTTACTGCACACGTAGTGTATTTTTAGTGCATGAGTGTCAGGATCCCACAATTTACCAATTCGTTCCAGCCTGTATGCACTTTTGTGTCCTTAAACGCTCGTTTTTTTATACAAGCTTGTGAAAACTTATTTCTGGATTTTTTAGCTTGCTTGCTGTACACCTTGTCTCCAGGGTTTGAAATGAACACCCGCAAAATGCGGGTAAAAATCAGCTGTGGCGTGTAACGCTGTCAAATCACTGGCCAATTTGGCGTGTTACTTATTATGTTTACTGACTTTGCTGGGGAAGTTTGTGTAAACCAAATCTGTGCAGATTTAGCGCAAATACTGAACTTCTAAGTCATCATGATTTATTAAATACAGCGTATTAGCGCATATCCGGCTTACCTGAACACACACGTCACTACGCAACAAATAACGGCGCGCTTGTTCACTTGCACTGAAGCAATAGCGAAGATTAAAAAGCATTTGGTTAACAATAATCCTAAATTGTTCTTTGTACTGTATTGATCTGTCCACCTAAAACACATTTCTGGTGAAAAGGACGAGGATGAAAGAGGAAAGGAAGAGAATGCTGGATGACAGGATTTTGTTTAAATATTAAATGAATGTATGAAATCCAAATTTTATATGTATATTATAAGCTGTGACATAGTTAATCTGGTTTATTTTTTTTTATTTAATATGTTTGGGTAGTAGAAGGTCTGAATGGCTGGTAAATTAAAAATGTAGTAGCCGAATTGTCCGGTGAGTGAAAAAGTTAATTTCAAACCCTGCTTGTCACATAGCAGCTTTTAGACATTGTTTTGTTTTTTGTTACACGCCAGAAATAGAGAGCCTAAGTCCCTCCCCTTCCGGTCGACCACCATGGGACCTTATTTAGGAAAAATATTGTATGGTAGTCAATGGCGAGAGACAACAAATATTTTGATCTCCTTTGAATTGTGCCCTGAATTACACATATGATGTTTGTCAATTTAAAAGATACATTTTAAAGTCAAGAAAGTCGCAGTTTGATGTAAAACTGTTGAGGTATAAGACTGTGAAAATACGTAATTACAAAGACTACAAACCCCAAAGGCGCACATTTTCTCTCAATGAATGAAGCTAACTTTACTGAAGCTAACTTTACTGAAACTAACTTTACTGAAGCTAACTTTACTGAAAGCTAACTTTACTGAAGCTAACTTTACTGAAGGCTAACTTTACTGAAGCTAACTTTACTGAAGCTTACTTTACTGAAGCTAACTTTACTGAAGCTAACTTTACTGAAGGTTAACTTTTACTGAAGGCTAACTTTACTGACGCTAACTTTACTGAAGGCTAACTTTACTGAAGCTAACTTTACTGAAGGCTAACTTTACTGAAGCTAACTTTACTGAAGCTTACTTTACTGAAGCTAACTTTACTGATGTTAACTTTACTGAAGCTAACTTTACTGAAGGCTAACTTTACTGAAGCTAACTTTACTGAAGGCTAACTTTACTGAAGCTAACTTTATTGAAGGCTAACTTTACTGAAGCTAACTTTACTGAAGGCTAACTTTACTGAAGCTAACTTTATTGAAGGCTAACTTTACTGAAGCTAACTTTACTGAAGTTAACTTTACTGAAGCTAACTTTACTGAAGGCTAACTTTACTGAAGCTAACCTTACTGAAGGCTAACTTTACTTAAGCTAACCTTACTGAAGCTAACTTTACTGAAGCTAACTTTACTGAAGCTAACGTCTGTCATTGTTTCTATAGTCTTGCGTTATAATCGTAACGTTACGCCGTCATGCCTGAGTGTTTTGTACCAGACTGCACACACACGAGCAGCGGATCTCGCTCGTTGCTTCCCGGGAGATGTAGTTCATTGAGCGATTTTCACATAAAACTAAATGTTACTCTTCTGTTTTATGAAAAACTGTGACTTTCTTGACTTTCAGAATTATCTTTTAAATTGACAAACATCATATGTGTAATTCAGGGCACAGTTTAGACGGAATAAAAAGTTAAGTTGTCTCTCGCCATTGACTACCATACATATTTTTTCCGAAATAAGGTCCCATGAGCCGGGAGGGGAGGGGCTTAGGCTCTCTATGACCATGACGCAGCTTCTCGCAATGCAAAGTCAATGGAGACGGTTGGATTGCCCCTCCCCCCCGGTGTGGGCGTGGCTTTCAGTTTATGATGTTGCTCTGTCTCTATTGTTTCCCCTCCCCCAAAGAGTTCCACATATTCTGACTCCGCCTCTCGTCCCGCCCCCTTCTCTAGCTCACCTTCTCGGAAGCCATGAGAAACAAGGCCCGCTTGTCAATCACGGGCAGCCTGGGGGAAAATGGGCGTGTCCTGACGCCAGACTGTCCTAAGGCCATGCGTTCTGGCCCCTCCTATCGACATGGCCCCGCCCTCGCCGTGGTGTCCGACCTCCCATAGAAACCAAAAACTCACCTTGTGCCTTAAACCATCTTACCCCTCTACCGAAGTTCAGATTCACGCATTACGGGAGAACCACGTCGCCGCACGGCTTGCGAGGACTCAGACGTGACAGACCTGGAAAGAAACACAAGAAATCACACACCCCTGTGGAAAAGACGTCGAAAATTGTAAACGAGTTGGGACGGCATAGATACGAACGTTTTTGACATTGTCGCATCAAGGATCCATGATGCCTTATCCTGAAGCCTAACTTCGAGGACAAACATCATCGCATAATTGCCGAAGACTCACGTAGAAGACCAGTAAACTGTAAATGTAAAGACATTAGCTGCGCTTTACGTGTTTCGTCGCCGTCCATCATCAGCAAAACCTGCATTAGATGTATTAACTCACTCGAGCGCAAAACGGCATATTTACGACATGGTCCACAATCACTAGCTGTATTTACTAAACCGTATGTAGATATTCTCTCAGGAGCCACGAAGGGGGACACAAAACGTCCGACATCTTTTATCATCTCGACGGGATTTCTGCAAGAAGACACTGATGGGAGCCGCTTGCTTTTTTTTTGGACTGAAATGTAAATAGACCAGTAGTAAAAGCTGAACACGATTCTTTTATAAAGCATCTTAGGTAATAATTCATTGCAATAATGACTATAGGGAGACCTGACTTGTAATTAAGAGATCTTTTATAAACACACAGTATTATATATACAGAAACGAATCTATATAATAGAGGGACATCTGAACTAAAGCAGCTCAGTTGTGTGTGTGTGTGAGACCATGGCATCTGTTCTGTTAACAGTTGTTTTGATAATCGATGTAACGCAGTGTGTACGTGTCTTTGTCCTTTAATGAATGTCCACACATTTCACATGTCGCACAAACACACACACGAGTGTGAACGCCGCACCGCATCGCACACCAGGATCACACGACTCCTGACTCTCACCTTTGGTGTTTGGTTTGGTTTTTGCGTTTTGGTTTTTCTCTTTGTACCCACCAATTCAAATAAAACTGGAACATTTATACAATAAATGCACATCTTTTTCCTTTTCATTCATTAAATAAGCAAATGTCAATGCAATATGACCCTGATTTACAGTTTGATTCAACTACAGTAGTTCTTGGGATAGTTTACAAAAATATATAATTCTGGCATCAATTACTCACCCTCATGTCCTTCCAAACCTGCATGACTTTCTTTCTTCTGTGGAACATAAAAAATATATGTATTTATACCCTGCCCGGACAAAAAAAGTCTCTGTTTGGATTTAAACAGGCAAACACTTAAAATGGACTAATTTTATGCATTAAAACTCCTTAAAGGAGTAGTTCACTTTTAAAAAAACTTTTGCTGATAATTTACTCACCCCCATGTCATCCAAGATGTCCATTTCTTTCTTTCTCCAGTCGAAAAGAAATTAAGGTTTTTGATGAAAACATTCCAGGATTTTTCTCCATATAATGCACTTTACTGGGTACCAAACGGTCCAAGGTCCAAAAGACAGTTTCAGTGCAAACTGCAAACTGTTCAAAGGGCTTTAAACGATTCCAGACGATGAATAAGGGTCTTATCAAGCGAAACGATCGCTCATTTAAAAAAGAAATAACAAAGTTTAAGTTTAATAATGTCAAATGCTCGCCTTTCTCTGTTCTGTGTTGCACGTTCGTGACTCTCCTGTTCGAACTCGTTCATCAAAATGAACAAATCTTTTTACGAGTCATTTGATTCATTTAACGACCGAAATGAACGAAATGACTCGGAAAAAGATTTGTTCATTTTGATGAACGAGTTCGAACAGGAGAGTCACACAGAACAGAGCGAGGCGAGCATGTGAGCTTATAAAACTTAAACTTTTTTTGTTTTTGTTTTTTAAATGAGCGATCGTTTCGCTTGATAAGACCCTTATTCATCGTCTGGAATCGTTTAAAGCCATTTGAACAGTTTGCAGTTTGCAATGAAACTGTCTTTTGGACCTTGGACCGTTTGGTAGCCAGTAAAGTGCATTATATGGAGAAATCCTGGAATGTTTTCATCAAAAACCTTAATTTCTTTTCGACTGAAGAAAGAAAGACATGGACATCTTGGATGACATGGGGGTGAGTAAATTATCAGCAAAAGTTTTTTAAAAGTGAACTAATCCTTTAAAATGCCTTGAATGTAACTCGACACCCTCATTTAGTATGTGCGGTTCTATGAATATGCAAATGAGTCCCGCCTCCACTCACTCACTCAGCTCAGAGATCCACTGGTTGACGATCACACGTTGATCTGATTGGTTACAAGGTTGTTTGTGACGTCAGAAACACCAGCGATTTCAAACCGTGTTTTTGAGACTGTCTTTGGTTCACTGCAGTTTTAAGGAGGAAATACTCAGCAATGCTGTCGACTTATGAATTTACACATGGTTTGTCATAAAGCATATTAAAAACACCACATAGACATATAAACAACATTTAAAACTTGATTTTCAAGTCTCCTCCAGCACATCCCAAAGACTTTCAATGAATTTCAGGTCTGGACTCTTCATGCCTCCTTCCAACCATTCTTTCACATTTTGATGAATCTTGACATTGTAATCCTGGAATATGGCCATTATGTGCCGTCCTATACATGGTTGTTTAAGAAATGAAAAGCTACACACTCCATCAATGAGGGTTAGAAGAACTGTTGCCAGACATATAATAATGATCCAATCATAAGCATTTGTCTATTTAAATCCAAACAGTGAAATGTTTTGGCCTGGTAGTGTATATACAGTATATTAAGGCTGCAACAAATACCAACAAACTTTGTTCTTTAATTATCAATAAATGTATGTGTGAAATTTTTTCTATCTAAAAATTTGTAATGCACCAACATTTCGGCAATCATAAATATTTGGCTAAAAGAAAAAGAAAAAATCATTGACCGAAATACTATTTCATGCACACAAGAACAATAATGCTTGAGTAGCAATGTGCAAATTTGTTCGACCCCCTGAAACTGTTTTGGTTTCTTTTTTCGGCTGAATGAAAACTTTCAGTGAAAAATGTTGGTGCATCACTAGTTAAAAATAAATACTTTCTTGTAAACTAGATGAATATGCTGATAGAGTTGCAAGTAAACTACTTTCAGGTTGGCTTCCCCAAAATGTAGAAAAAACTGCGCTTTCAAAACATTGATGTGTTTGTTCATGCCTCTCAACCAGTCAGACATGCAGCATTGACTCATTGGCTGGTCATTAACTTGTTTTTCTCCCAAAACACACACACACACACACACACACACACACGGACTGGTAAAACCAGCTAAAGACCAGCTAGAAACCATCAAAACATTGACTTGCTCACCCTCATGTCGTTCCAAACCTGTGTGACTTTCTTTGTTCTGTGAAGCATTATTTTGCACGAGTAAATGATAATGAACTGTTTCTTTAACGCTGGTTCACACTACAAACACACATTACTCAGAATCACAGTCATTGTCGTCCCAAGCCCGTAAGACCTCCGTTCATCTTCGGGACACAGTTTAAGATATTTTAGATTTAGTCCGAGAGCTTTCTGTCCCTCCATTGTAAATGTGTGTACGGTATACTGTCCTTGTCCAGAAAGGAAATAAAGACATCATCAAAGTAGTCCATGTGACATCAGTGGGTTAGTTAGAGTGTGTTGAAGCATCGAAAATACATTTTGGTCCAAAAAATAACAAAAACTAGGCGTTTATTCAGCATTGTATTGTCTTCCGGTTCTGTTGTGGATCCGCGTTCAGTGCCGCCGCTGACGTAAGACGCTGCTGACGTGTGTCTGGTGTGTGTGTGTGTGTGTGTGTGTGTGTGTGTTCTGGTTCTGTTGTGGATCCGCGTTCAGTGACGCTGCTGACGTAAGACGCTGCTGACGTGTGTCTGGTGTGTGTGTGTGTGTGTGTGTGTGTGTTCTGGTTCTGTTGTGGATCCGCGTTCAGTGCCGCTGCTGACGTAAGACGCTGCTGACGTGTGTCTGGTGTGTGTGTGTGTGTGTGTGTGTGTATTCCGGTTCTGTTGTGGATCCGCGTTCAGTGCCGCTGCTGACGTAAGACGCTGCTGACGTGTGTCTGGTGTGTGTGTGTGTGTGTGTGTGTGTATTCCGGTTCTGTTGTGGATCCGCGTTCAGTGCCGCTGCTGACGTAAGACGCTGCTGACGTGTGTCTGGTGTGTGTGTGTGTGTGTGTGTGTGTATTCCGGTTCTGTTGTGGATCCGCGTTCAGTGCCGCTGCTGACGTAAGACGCTGCTGACGTGTGTCTGGTGTGTGTGTGTATTCGGGTTCAAATAAATATGGCTGGGCAAAAAGATGCAAGTCTTCCTCTGTGTGGAAATCCTTAGACATGTTTGCGAAGATTGTTTTGTTTCCAGCGTGCGTCTCCCTCAGACTGTAAACGAAGCTCGGGCGCACCAGACACACGTCAGCAGCGTCTTACGTCACACACACACACACACACACACACACACGTCAGCAGCGTCTTACGTCAGCAGCGGCACTGAACGCGGATCCACAACAGAACCAGAACACACACACACACACACCAGACACACGTCAGCAGCGTCTTACGTCACACACACACACACACACACACACACACCAGACACACGTCAGCAGCGTCTTACGTCAGCAGCGGCACTGAACGCGGATCCACAACAGAACCAGAACACACACACACACACACACACACACACACACCAGACACACGTCAGCAGCGTCTTACATCACACACACACACACACACACACACACCAGACACACGTCAGCAGCGTCTTACGTCAGCAGTGTCACTGAACGCGGATCCACAACAGAACCGGAATACACACACACACACACACACACACCAGACACACGTCAGCAGCGTCTTACATCACACACACACACACACACACACACACACACCAGACACACGTCAGCAGCGTCTTACGTCAGCAGCGGCACTGAACGCGGATCCACAACAGAACCGGAATACACACACACACACACACACACACCAGACACACGTCAGCAGCGTCTTACGTCAGCAGCGGCACTGAACGCGGATCCACAACAGAACCGGAATACACACACACACACACACACACACACACACACCAGACACACGTCAGCAGCGTCTTACGTCAGCAGCGTCACTGAACGCGGATCCACAACAGAACCAGAACACACACACACACACACACACACACACACCAGACACACGTCAGCAGCGTCTTACGTCAGCGGCGGCACTGAACGCGGATCCACAACAGAACCGGAATACACACACACACACACACACCAGACACACGTCAGCAGCGTCTTACATCACACACACACACACACACACACACACCAGACACACGTCAGCAGCGTCTTACGTCAGCAGTGTCACTGAACGCGGATCCACAACAGAACCGG